GTTCTTGAAATACCAAGCCATCATGGTAGAACAAGATGATGTAGAAATAGTGGTGACTAACATTGTCAACCCAGCTTCTTTCATCAGCAAAAATGAAGGAGAGCCAGTACACCACGATTGTCTGGAAACCATTGAAGCTACATACTCCAGTCGTTGGGATCTGAAGGATACCCCTTTAGATGACACAGAAACCTGGTTCACTGATGGGAGCAGCTATGTTATTAGTAGAAAGCGACACGCTGAGTATGCAGTTGCTACCTGCAAAAAGGTAATAGAATCTAGACCTTTGCCAACAAACACCTCTGTACAGAAAGCTGAGATAATTGCTCCGACACGTGCCCTGGAAATGGCAGATGCATTTAGAGCCATTTAGAAAGAAAGTAGACTGTTGAACTCACAAGGAAAACATATCAAACATGCACATGAAATATTGCAGCTGTTGGAAGCAGCCCAGCTACCTGAGAAGGTAGCAATCATGCACATTAAAGCACACCAAAAAGTGAGCTCTGAATTAAAAGAAGGAAATAAAGTGGCAGACAGAGAGGCAAAAAGGGCAGCAAATGGTCAGATAACAACAGAAGGAGCCCTGATCCCAGATGGGAAAGTCTCCCTAGAAGGTAAGCCTAAATAAAGATGAAAAAGAAACATATAACCAAGAAGGATGGGCTATTACAGCAAAAGGAGAGATAATAATACCTTCTCATTTGTTGTAGTCATCAATTAGAGAGAAACATCAGAAAACACACTGGAGTGTAGATGCTCTGTATAATTATCTAAATTATAAAATTATCACCAGGCATTTACAAGATACCATCAAGCAGGTAACCCAGCAGTGTGACATTTACCTCCAGACTAAACCCAAAATTACTTGCAAAATAAAACTTAGTCAAATTAGAAGGAGCCATGGACCTAGACAGAAGTAGCAAATTGATATCACAGAACTTCCAAGAAAAGGGGGGTATTGATATTTGTTRGTATTAACAGATACCTTTTCARGGTGRCCARAAGCCTTTCCCACCAGAACTGTCAAGGGTTTAGCTACTCAGGAAGTAGCTAAAGTATTGTTGCAAAAAAAAATAGAGACCATCTATATGGTGGCTTTGGGCAAGCCACGCAGAAAGATTAAAAAGCATGTAGCCGGAACCCGAAGTCAAAGTTTAGATGGTCCTGTATGTGATATTCAGTCTAGAGATTATGTATATGTCAAGTCTTTTGCAGGAAAAACTCTGGAGCCACAGTGAGAAGGACCATTTCAGAAGGACCACTCCTTAGCACTTACACCGCAATTAAAATCAAGGAGCAGAACGCCTGGATTCATTATACCAAACTGAAGAAAGCCTGTAATTCTCCATGGAAGGTCATGCAAGTTCAACCAAGAAAATTATTTTTCTCATAATCATAATTATAATCCAGGGATAGGAGAGTACCTCTAGCCAGGACAATACTGATTAGCCTTGGTCTCAAAGTATCTAGAAGTATACTGGATCCATGAGAAGGCATTCTGATGTAAAAGATTTAAATCTGTTAACTGTAGTTATACACAAAAATCAAGTATATGCAAGACAAGAATGAGAAAAACAAAGGTTGTAGCAACTTCAGAAGACTATAGGTAAAGTAATCAAAATAAAATGTTAAATAGTTAATAGAAATGCTTATAAAAAAGCAATCCAAATAAGTGTCTCGACTACCCTTACTGATAAGCATGACAAAATTTCTACTAGTTCAAATAAATTAGACTGTTAGTATACTTTTAAAATTAAGACAACCCCTACAGTCTTCTCTATTATCATTAAGGAGTAAACAGTAGCAAGTTTCAAAAGTGTTACCAAAATGAAAAGAAGTTAAAGAACAGGACCATAAATTAATAAATGCACTTAGTATGGTCTAGAACATCCTTAGCCCTTAGTTGTATACAGGCACAACTATAGACACARTCAGCAGCTACCTTAATTATAAGAGAAAGTAATGAAGGCACTTTTCCCATTGAAATTCAGAAAATTGTTTGGGACAATTCCACTAATCTAGAAAGAAAATTTCAATCTTGATAGACCCTAGTAAACTTTACCTATGACCCTTTTGACAATATGGCCACAACCTTTGTGCTCGCTGTACGCAATGCTCCTATCTATATTATCCATMYCATTGTTGCATTAGGATTAAACCATGAGAGAACAGTGCTCTRTCCCTCTGAACATAGGCTATAAGCCCAGATAATAGAGAAAAAGTAGCAAACTGTAAATTTAAAATCCTGTATTGCACGAGAACAACAAGAGTTATCTGTGAAAGCAATACAATTGATGCTCAGGACATATGCCTTGATACAGAGCAAGGCATTTGCCACTTCGAAGTCCATCCAGATTCCAGTCAAAAGACTGTGCTTGTGTATATTAGTCAAGGTTGTGTGTATTTAAGGACTGTTTGTGCTTCTATAAAGATAGATAGTGATAACATAASCTTAAATGTTAAGAATTATTCTAATTTTTGTATCTRTAATTTTGTTAARATAATTGRGTGTGACTTTTCGTATTTTGCTCCAGTTGTATCCCACCAATTGATAAAGTCTAATTACACTATGTACCACAAGTTGTCACCCATACCTATTAGAATGAACCTTGCATTAATAAAACAATTAGTAAAGCATCAAGACTTAATTAAAATTTTAAAAGAAATAAAAAAAAAATAGAAAGAAAACTTTAATTACTATACATCATAACTCAGAAAAGATAAGCAAAATCCTGCAAAGGGCAGGACAAGATGCAAGTCATCACTGGTGGGATGTGCTCTTTGGGTGGTCACCTACTGCAACTAGTACTSTAAATACACTTTGTCACCCTATTGTTGTTCTTTTATTATTAGTTAGTGTTAGCTTCATTTTATCTTTTGTGTTATTTGTTTAGAATTAGCGAATGTTACAGCGAGTAATGATTCTAACTTCTCTGTCAAAYGCACATAGTAAAGCATTGAGAGACACCTTTCATAAAAGTTTATTAGAAAAAAAAGTATATGTATTAGTAAAAGAATTTACTAATTTTATAGAAAAAGAGAAAATAATGCAGAGAAGTTAGAAGTTACAGGGTAACTTGTTAGAAACTGCTTGCTAGACAATGTATATTGCTTACTTAACATAGATTGTGTTTGTCAAAGCAGAATGAGAAGTAAAAGATTATTGACAAAAGCAGAGACTGTAACCCAGCCCTTACGCGTGGRACCCCTGCTCTAGACAAAACCAGAGTTGTTGTTTTGGACTTGGGCCWGRGACCCAGAGAGCATGCGCAAAAGAGAAAGGTGAAAAGTTCAAGACAAGAGGATGAGTATTTTACTTCCTCCCGAGACCCCCGGAGCCCACTACCAAATAACACCGCGCAGGGGTGAGCGCATAGAAATGACTTTTAAACTCATTATAATACAAAGCGGGAACAGGTTATGCATATGTATAGGCGAATTGCGAAACTCGGTGAATGTGTAACATGTAACCTGATATATACCAAGCRGTGCCCGTGCTGCRGTGTGTGCGCCTTTGAGGAGTACCTCCCGCTCACCCAGCGCTGCAATAAACATACCTAYTTCACAACTTAAAATTATATAAGTTGCGGAGTCTTGCTCAGATCATTTTTAGATCATTATCAGTCCCAAGATGCAACAACTCACATAACAATGGTGAGTCACAATATACCAGGCTAACTCACAAGATGGAAACAAAGTTTGAAATTCCTTTTGGACAGAAGTTTCCAACGACATTTGGTGGATCATTTTATGTGAGAGATCGCTTGATCATGGGCAAGAAGGGATTACATGTTATTAAAAACGGCGCACTTGGAGGGGCCCTCCTTGTGGTCCCTCATCCTTCAGCAACAATGGTTGCCATGACCACTTTCTAGAAGCCTTCTGCACCCAAAGGGTAAAACGCCGTGACACCGCTTCCCCTCGCCGAGGGGGTGTGTGCAAGGATGAGCAGCCCGCGCAACAGGCTGGAAGCGCGGCTTGCTTTGATCGCAGGAACAAAGTTACCTCAGTGCGGTGTATGTCACTGCGTACCACATAGCGGCTTGGCCAGTGCTGCCCCTTCCACCCAACACTCATGATTTCTGCGATGTGTTTACTAACAAKTGAGGCGAGGCAGCGAGGAGCAAAGCTGCCCCGACCGCCCCGCTCCGCGGTCTCGCTCTTCTATATTTCTTTCCCTTTATAGGAAAAGTATGTGCGGAGTCGGGGGGGCTGCCCTGAGTCACTGCGGGCTGCAGTGCCCGCCCACGTCCAAGGAGCCGGGGCCGCCGCTGGGGCGGGGTCAGCGCTGCCCGCCGGGGCCGCCGCGGCGAAGCTGAGTCGCCTGGCCCGCCCCGCAGCCCCTCGGCGGCAGCGAGGGGTTYGCCGCCATGACGGGCAGGTGAGGCCGGGCACAGGGGAGCCGGGCGGGGGTCTGGGCCGTGGCGGCCTTCGCCACCCTAAGCAGGCCGTGACGTGTCGGGAACCGCTCTTGCTCGCCCTGGGTAATGCCGTGGGGGGCCTGGTGGGAAGGGTCGGGGGAGGACGCTTTGCTGCTGTGAGGCTCAGGCGGAGCGGGGCAAGCTCCGGCCGGGAACGCGAGCGCAGAGCTGCTCCGCTGTGCCTGTACCATGTACGAGGACACAGCGAAGGGCAGACCAGAGGCAGAGTTGGCCGGAAGCAGCTGTAGATGTGAGCAGTGCCTGACCAGCAGCTGGGCTGTCTGTGGCCGCATGGCGTGACCCAGGCTGGCAGCCTGTGCCCTCTGTGCCCGCGCCGCTGCCCCGTCAGGGCCCTTTTCACTCATCTACGCAGCTCCACAGATTTATTCTCCTTTTCTTCGAGCTGGCCTTGGAGTTAACATGTTTCAGGAGCTGTTTAAGTCTGGAGCTTGATTCTCCTCTCATGCTGACTGTGGAGAACGCCGTAAAGCAACTTAATTGTAAATGAGAAAAGCAGCGGGGAAGACATTTACTGGCATTTTACGAAGCTTTGCACAAGTGCWTTAATGTTAACCCAGACGCTATAGAGCAATTCGTGAAAATGATCTTGCTTTTGTGAAATGTCTTGGAGATGGGAAGCATGAAGGGGTAATACTACTATTAGCAGGATGTCCTTTTTAGGATACTCATTCTCATGACCTACGATCTTACTGTTGTTCTGAAACATTGTTCTTCGTGACTAGGAGTACTGAAATGGATCTAGAGCAGTTTGTTTTATGTCAAGTCTTGATGTTTATATTATTCAGATTCTTATGATTATTCAGAATGGATCCTGATTAGTGAGTTGTTGAGTGTGAGAACCTACTGAATAATTGTATATACTCATCTATGGTTAGGGTATGTGTTATTTTTGGTCTCTGTGATGACAAATTGATGCTCTTGGGTGATTGATTGTAGATGCTCAAAACTCCTCTGGGTATTGTCTTGTGTCTTTAATGGTCCCTTTTTATTTTTCTGACGTGTGAAACAGGCCTGTATTTACAAGTTTATGTTCTTTTTTTTTTTTGCAGCTAGAGGAAGACTCGGGAGCCTTAAATGTTCACAGATCAAGGGTACCCATCCAGCTCTTAAATGGGGATAAGATGGGAAGAACTGTGGCTCTATGAAGCCAGCTGGTTTTATTTTTACAGAACTGCGGCAGGGGTCTGTTTAGAATGACAGGCTTACCTGGGGGAAGTCATTCAGGAGGACAGTGGAAAGTGCTGGTGGTCATTAATCCTTCTCTCTGTGCTTCTGAAATTTGCATGTTGAAGTGCATCACTATTCAGTGAGAAGCTCTGATGTGAAGTGTGAGCTTGGGTGGACAGTTTCCAAGGTAGCTGAGACACTGCAAAGTGTGCAATTCAAAGTGATGCAGGACTTCCATCTCCTTTTCCTTTTCAGAGGGTTGTTAAAAYAAGCAGGCCTTGGCTTTAGTTTGTGAAAATACAGGTGTTATTTAATATTTTCAGGCATGTTTGTCCTGGGAAGTTTGTCAGCTATGAACATTTCGAAAGTTCAGTCTGCTGTCATTCCCAGGAATTCTAGCCAAGTTGTTTGTCGCAGCTGTAACTCAGCTGACTGTTTCCTTGTTAATAGTATCATCCATTTAGGGTAGTGGTTTCCCAGCAAAGCTTTACAGTATCTGTGAAACATTGCACTGCTCAGCGCCTTGCCTGGCCCATGCTATTGGCAGGCACCGTGTTCAGTGTTGTTTTTCAGGCCAGTACAGATTCCTATGGCATTGGAAAGAATTCAGCACTGAGAATGTGCTTCCTTAGATCCAGCTGCAGGTCACTCAGCTGAGTGGTACCCAGATATTGTTCCATGTTTGTTACGTAGTAGTTTTTCAAGTCTGCTGGCTTTATGTAGTCAGATGTTCTCCAGCTTTTGAGACTTGGGGTTTTCAGGGTTGTGGGAGTAGGTGAACTGCTCCACAGCTGGAGCATCCCCACAATATTCATCAGTGGGAATCTTCCTGAGTCAGGAATAGGATGTAAATATGCCTTTGGTCTTGAAACTGTTGACACAGGGAACGACTATGTTGTTTTACAGTGTTCTAAAATGAGGAAGACTGGAAAACATGACATGCTAAAACAATATTCTTTTTCACTTCACCTTTCCTATAAAGTAGAAATATGAAAGAACTCTCCTCTAGGTACTCTGATTACCAATGCATTATTAATATTAAAATACATGAAAAATAACTCCATTTTCATTGTATTCTGTCTCATTTGGCTGCAGAGGACATCTCCTGAATTTCAAAAACTGCAGTGATTTGATTATTGATTTTTAGCCTCAGGGAAAAATATAACTCCAGGAAAAAGAAGTACACATCTTTCTTTATCTGTACTTATGGTAAAAAAATACTAAAATTAGGTGTCTATTCAGCAAATGAAATGCAAATCTTACATATATCACTAGTTACATTATTACAGTGTGAGGATTGTGTTTTGTTAAAGAAAATGGAAAACTAGATAATTTGATTTGAGAAATAATACTTGTGGCTGCAAGGTCTGGGCTGGGCTCTTGGGGAAGTAGAGGAGGGCAACCACCTCCCTGACCTGATGGCTGCACTTTTTGGTTTCATGAAGTTATGTGCTGCTTTAATTATATTTTTTAAAAATTCTGTATAAGAGGTATTGTGTTAGATGTAAAAACAGTATGACTCTAAGCAGTTCTGTGTTTTTCAGTGTTGATAAATACAGTTGATGTGATTTTTGGAGCATTTAGAAGTTAACTATGGTGCTTTGTTACCAATAAGTGAAGACCAGTTCTAGAATTGTATTTGATGTATTTAGTCCATCTGTTTATTTTGACTTTCGACTTTTTGAGGATTGTAGAAGTTTGGGGTGGGGTTGATTCTTCTCGTTTGTTTGGCTGGGTTTTGTTTTGCTTTTTTTTGGTTTTTTTTGGTTTTTTTTTTTTTTTGTCTTCATAGTGGGCTTATTACAAAGAGAGAAGATCTGTGAATGACCAGTGAGCAAAATGTTGTCAAATGCCCAAAGCAGAAACTAAGCAAGAATGGTAGAGAGTTTTAAGACTTTACTGAGAGTTTTCTTTAAGATGTTACTGCTGTGGTGTTGATCAGAAATCCCGAAGGTAAAAAATGCCTAGGCTGTTTTGTGTTGCCTTTAGAAATTAATCTAATACAAAGCTGAAGAAAAAAAAAATATTTCCCAAGTGTGTGTTTCGGAGCATAATTATTTTTGTAAGAAATCTTTGTTATTATTGTACTTGGTCAAACTGGGATCTGGATACGCCTATGTACTTCCTGTAGTCAACAAAAGAAGAACAGCTGCATTTGTAGATATGCTTATTGATGATTGTTCCTAATCCAGTGAAGGTAAGAAATAACGGTATATTATTTTCAGTTAGGCTGTCTGGTTAGATGCTTTCTAAACTCAGCAGAGAGTTGCTGCTGCTGTACATGAAACTGTTGCAAGTAAATGGTTTGAAAGAGGAGAGAATATGAAGGACAACAATATTACAAACCGTTCTTGGCCTTGAGTAGAAAGTACCTGTATCAAATAAGAGATACTTTATGTCTCTGAGTTAGAAGCAGCTACTTCTATTCTTCTGGGTTGAAGATGTGGTTTTAATCTTAATCTTTCGATATAAACCTGCTCTGTGTGTCCCTCTAGATAAACTTTAACTTGTTGGAAGGCCTTTAGTCTCTTCTGGGGCCGTAGAGATGCTTCTCTGAGGAAGCATCTGTAAATGCCTGAAAGAAGTCTGTCTGCTTTCTTTTCTGCTTTGGCCCAGAAAGTAACCACCTGTAAGATTTTGGCATCAATCCTATCTCTTAAAAGCAATCTGTCAAGAGAGAAAGAAAAAAACACCCGTGCATTTTCACTCTTTATGTGTAAGGTGGCAAGAGAAGGAGTGAGTGAGCTTGTGTTGTGGGATGGGAAGACAGACAGGATGTTTGCTGTTGTGATTTAGTTTTTTTACTTTAATGCTATCATCATCCCTTTTGAGGAAGACAAGTCATAGTTTCCATGGAAGAGTGATTATTTGAAAACCAATAAAATGACGTATGAGTCAGGTAAAAACTTACGTGTTTGAGAGAGAAGGAGGTTTTTTGTCAGATTGCTTAAGGATAAGGAAGATTAATGTTGTGGTGATTTAATATTTTGTTTTGTGCTAGAAGTAAAAAGGTGATCTTACATTTTAAAACTGATTTATTGTTGTAAGATTTCAAAGGTCAGCAGACACACAGTGTGGAGGGCATTTTTCTTTATTTCATTTATATTATAAAATAGAAACAGATAAACAATACAGTTTGAAAAAAGTGATAGTGGCTGATTGCTGTCAGGTCAGGAGCTGAAACTCCCAATGAAATGTGGGGTGCATTGTGGATTTTAAGGTTGCTGATTTGTGGTTTTGAAAGTGTGTTGTTCTTTAATCATACTTGTTCTGGTGGGCCCCAGTAAGCCCTTCTGTTTTTCTTTAAATGTCAGGAGGGATTCCTGCGGGTTAATACTCATTTAGAACTCATGAAGTCATCGCTCCTCATTTTTTTGCCTCTGTAGCTTGTCGAGTTGTATTTCATGTTCATGCTACAAAAAATGCTCTTTTTTTCTTTTAACAATTTACTGAAAAGTAATTTGTTGGTAATACTCCTATGATATTTTTGATGGTAATGCCTGAAGACCAGAAAACTCTGGAGACTGGAATGTCAAGTATGTTCCTTCTCCCTGCTTCCTGATCCATTGCTGCGTGCCACTGCTGCCGGCTGCAGGGAGTTTGGAGAGCGGAAAGCAGAAGTCTTTGCAATTTTGTTTCTTGGAATATTCTTTGTCCGAATGGAAGGAGCAGCTCTTATTTGCATTGTCTTTAAGACATGGTGTGGTGTGGTAGCCTGGAAGGAAACACTTGGAGATGCCAGGGGCAGATACTAGTCTGCAGTAAACAATAG